GCCTACTCAGTAGTTTGTGTGATAGCTAACCGCTGCAGCATGGCCTTCCTCCAGCCTGACCACAAAAGGCTTTGGTCTCACAACCTGATTTTGCTATAGAAACAAGTGCAGCATCCGGCTTGTAAGCTGTGGATAGCTGCACATATTAAGAGTGCCGGGTCAAGCTAATTAAACAGTGACAAATATAGCAAAGGGGAGATCCATGTTCATGGTGTTTTTAATAGGCTGGATCTCACCAAGACAGGAAGCCAGTGATTGAGCTGGTCTCTTTCATTCTTCATGAGTTGACCTGGGATTCTTGGGGTGATCCTGGGAGGGAGAGCGAGGACGGGAGCCATCGCAGCTGCTGAAAGCCCAGGCGAAATGAGAAAAGAACTTGCCATACTTAGCTGTATGGACTAGCTGCATGCTACTTCAGCATGTATCACATGGGGGTGCAAAAATCTGCACATCCTTGGTGGTTGTGTCCTAGATGCTTAGCTGCTTCTTTTAGCTGATTTAAAGTGGGTGCATGGACTGTGCTTTGTTCCCGATTCTGGCCAGACCTGTTACTCCAGTCGGCAGCAGCCTGCCCTCTATCTGCCTCCCCACGCACTGCGGTTAGTGGCCAGGATTGGGTCTCGTCCTCTTTGTGGGTTTGCCATCAGAAGACACTATTACAACACACCACCACTAGTAACACTCATAAACGACTCGTAAAATATCCAATAATCCTCGAAACAAGAGTCTATTGAGAAACATCTGCTGTCATAATATTGCTAGTGGTGTTCATGAACACTAGTGTGAAGTTTCTTTGCAACGTTTAGTGACAGCATTTAGCATTATTTGACATTATTTTCTCTAAATATGAAATGTATTCCCTTTTGTTAATTCAGGCTTTAACAGTGGACCTGAGGAAAGACCGGTTCATTAGACAGGTAAATACATATATACCGTCTGTGTGTGTTATAAATGAAAGTCAGCTAACATGTCAATATTTGTGGATCTCAATAATTATAGCATCTAACCATATGGGAGAGCAGAGTAAACTTGTACTCCCCAGACTTTCTGTTTTAGGAACCAAGTATTCTGGAAACAACATTTCTAACCTGCATTTTTATCCATTAAGGTTTGGTAGAATGATTGCCCTCAAGTAGGTGCACATCGTTTATAATTGCTGTGCTCACCATGTGTAGATGGATGATGAGGCCACACTGTTGCCACGGAAACTCCAGGCTGCCCTGGAGCATGCTCTCGAACAGAGGAAAGACCTCATCAGTCAAGACTCTGATAGCGAATCGGATGAAGGTAAACCTCTGATCTAGTCACCCAGGGTCCAATGAGGGATGAAGCGCACCATGTGATGAAGGCTGCAGTTTGTTCAGCAGTCCACAAGGAAATATGCATGATACTGTTAGAGACTGAAAGAGTTAATGAAATAGTCTTAAGTAAGACAGACCACTAACTCAAACCCTGCATGTCATCTTTAAGGGACGTGTCTTTTCACAGATATCGTTGACATTTGTGTTGATTATTTTCAAAGAAGGGAGCTTTGTACCTCATTGTTATGAGCTGAATATTTCCCTTGCAAAAACAGAATGGAAATTTCCTGGCAAAGCTGCACTGTAAATATTTCTGATGTTCGCACAGTTATGATTTGGCAGGGGAATACACCATTTCTGCTTTTCCAAACACAGAAAATGGCTTTTTCACTTTGCTTTCTCAATTCACTCCAGATGAGACACAAATTCTTCAACAAAAAAAAAAAGACTTTATAAATTGTCACAGCTCATCGACAAAGCATTTGACAGCCACGGGTGCAGGAGAGGGGAGGAAAACTTGGCCTAATTACATTTTGCATGCTCTGAAAAAGAAACGATATTCAAATATGCTGGAGAATATTTGGAATAAACCAGAAATGAAGGTGCTTCTAAAGAAAGCATGCTTGTGGAAAGGATGATACTTTTAATAAGGGACTCTCCGCTATGCTACTCTACTGTACGGACTCTACTCTCTATGCTATTTATTGTGTGAAGTCTTATGTTCTACTTTTTGTTGAAATACTGATGCATTTCTGATGCAGGTAGCATGGTCTTGTAAAGCATTAACTATGAACAGTTGTTTATATAACTCTTTATAAGTGTCAGATGAAGATCTCCCTGTTTTGACAGAATGTAACTCCCTAAACAACGTGGTGTCAGAGGCTTTTATCCGCTTCTTCCTGGAGACGATCGGACATTACTCCCTGTTCATGACCCAGAACGAACAGGGCGAGCGCTTATTTCAGAGGGAGGCCTTTCGCAAGTCTGTTGCTTCCAAGAGCGTCCGCCGCTTTCTGGGCGTTTTTATGGAGTCCCAGATGTTTGCTGGTTTCATCCAGGACCGGGAGCTCCGCAAGTGTCGAGCCAAGGGTAGGCAGTGTCTCTCTGGGCACCCTGCTGTGGTCCTCTCTAGTAATCTGAGATGTATACTATGCCAGTGTTTCCCAAACCGGTCCTCAGGTACCCCGCAGGGTCCACATTTTTGCTCCCTCCCAGCTCCCTGCCACAGTCCACATTTTTGCTCCTTCCCAGCTCCTAGGAAACGCGGACTGTCTGGTGGTCCCAGAGGACCGGGTTGGGAAACACTGTACTTTACCATGTAGTAAGCGTGTACTGCTTGGTTATGGATGACATTACATATATTTTTAGAAAACATGTCTATGCAAAGTGATCTGCAAGTCAGGGTCAGCCAGTCTCCCTGAAGCCCCTGAGGTTAAGGGCCTTGCTCATTAACTCCTCCAGCAGAGGATTGGAACCCAGTACCTTCCACAGATCCCCAGAAATCACCCTGCTGCAGTGGCTCCAGTTTAGCGACAGCAGCATGCATTACACCAGGGATCCCCAATTCTGGTTCTGCTGTGTTTGAGCAGGGAAATCTGCAGACTGGCATTGGAGATTGGAAAACCCTGGCGTAGTGCATGCTATTTTACGCAAATAGGTTCTTAATTTATATCAAGTACATAAAAAGCTTCCTTCATCAGTGTGTAATGCCCCCTCCTGGTAGAAAAATATATTTGACTTGTTGCCACTGGGATAGCGGGGTACCAGTGACCTGCGCCCCCCTTTTTAGAGCACATTGATACATTTTTCTTTTTAAACAATTACAGTAGTTAGGATAATATGGTTTTCTGATTCCTCCTCTGTCACAGGGCTCTTTGAGCAGAGAGTGGAGCAGTACCTGGAGGAGCTGCCCGACACTGAGCAGAGCGGGGTCAACAAGTTCTTCAAAGAGTTGGGTGAGTGGACCACTGCATCGCACCAGGAGATCACCTCCTGCAGCTTAAACTCCTGTGCAGTGCTCCAGAACCGTTTTCCAGACAACGTCTCAACACGCATTTGTAATTCTGCATTAGCTTAAAACTAATTTTCCTGTCGAAAGACTTTTAGCCTCCAGCAGTAGCTGTGAAGCTGGAGTTCATTAAGCTTAAGCCTCTGGGAGTTCATGCAATGGGAGACACAGCCACAGTGTATATTAACCTCATGAGAGCCAAATTGGATTAATATTTTTTTTTTTTTTTTTTCCAGGAAGTAAAATGAAGTTTCTGCACAAAAAGAACTAAAGGAACCCCCATTCTACTGTACATTTTTTACCAAATACCAACAACGGTGAAATATTAAGTCTTATTGCATAGTGTGCACATTACAAGACCCGGTACACCCCATACATGGAAATCTTCTATATTGGGCTGTACCTAAGTTCAGATTTTGTACAAAAAAAAATCACTGTAAGCTTGCTGTTATACCTGTTAGGCTCCTAGTTACTTTTGTAGATTAATTCCAATGGGGCTTTAAGAGTGGCTGCAATGTGGATGGTACCTAATGTGCATTTGACTGTTCCCAGAATAACCACTGACTTACAGAAGGCATGTGGAGAATCAGATCACATATGAAGAATGGCTCCATCAAGTGCTAGATCTCGTTGCCATTGTGTGAATGTTGCTTTTGTCTGCGGTCTAGCATGCTCCACCATTGTGGTACTTTAGATGAGGACAACCTGTGCATTAAACAGCTGGAAGTTTATGTATATGCATAAAGGTACATGAAGAACATACTTGTTAACAACCCAATTGCTTTGTATCTTGTAAATTTCTAAATAAAATGTTTTAAGAACATGTGTGAACTTTGCCTTGAACTCAAGCTGTTGATTCAGCACACACAGCTGCCAGATGCTACTTTTAGAATCTAGAGACAGAGCGCCCCCTTTTGGTGGTGCAAAGTTTCCCATTATCTTGGTCACTGGACTAGCCTGGTGGCACAGTTGGTTGTTTTAGGTTAAAGAAAAATTAAGTTGCTATTTTAGTAGCGGGATAACACCCAATTCACCTATGACTTCCACATTCACTGAGCTGCAATGTGTTTCCAGTTACTTGTACTCTTCTAGTAGCACAGTGACTCTGGGTAATACTCTTACATCTCACCTCCAGTGTTGAGGGTTCTAATCCCACCTCTGCTGCAAGGGGGTTGATGTGTTCCCCTGCTGTCACTAGGGATATTTCCATTTTTCCTTCCAGTCTGAAGATATGCAGCTAGGCTAACTGTATGGACGTACCTTGTAATGGCCTCCAACACTGGGAGAGGTGTTGGTGTGGCCAGTAGGGGGAGCCCATCCTGTGGTTGGTGTGAATCCCAGTGCAGTGAGGGGAATGCTGTGCTGTAAAAATGGTGCGGCACTGGGGATGGGATGTAAAACTGAGACCCTGACTTTCTGAGGTCATAAAAGATCCCTGGGCATCTTCCAAAGTAGTAGGGGTGACACCCTGATATCCTGGCAAAAATTGCCCACTGTGGCCCTGTCAAATCTGGCCTCCTAATCAACCCCTATATCTAAGTGAATTCTCTCCTGCCCCCTTCACCAGCATAGCTACTGTGTGGTGATTGTACTGATGCAGAATAGCTGCCGTCACATTATCCAGGTGAAGGGCATCTTTAAAACTGCCATATAAATATAAACTTTTTCATTATACAGAAAATAAGCAGGGATTCTTTTTATACAATTTATTTTCAATAATTGGTATCAGATGCTCATGCCATCAGTACACAAGCTCCTCCAACTCCCTTGATCTTCTCCTCAGCCTTTCTGCTGAAGAACTTGGCCTTCACAATGACAGGCTGCTTGGGCAGTTTGCCTTTGCCCAACACCTTGAAATAGCCCTGCCAAAATAAAAGTACTTCATGAGCATGTGGTTCGTCATCCCTCTACACAACCTCCAACTTCAGCGGTACTTCTGCACAGGAAGATGGCAGCTCACAGCGGTACAGATTTGAGAAAAGGTTCCACAAAGAGCTCACATGTATTATATGTAAAAGGTAACATTTTCAGAACTGACCCATGGGAACTGAACACGTCTGAATGTTCTTCATTATTGACATTTAGTTCAACAGTTGCACTGCATGCATTTATCTTAGATCATGGTACACAGATATTCAAATACTACACTATACTAGTTCAGAAACCTTTTAAATAAAGGAACTTTGCAGATCATTTATTAATTTAGCCAGAAATAAGTATCTATAGGAGAATCTGAGTACAGTCATTTATGCACATTATGGAAATCCATGGAAAATATGCAGGTAACACTCCAGTATGCTCATGCTAAGGACAAAATAGTGCACAGCTGGTGTTAACACTAACTGTGGATTCAGGACACTACTCACAGCACGCACGACATCAATGATGGGTGCAGGGCCTTCGGGCTTCTTGCCGTAGTTGACCCTGGTCTGCTCACTGACCAATGTCCAGAGCTTGTCCAGATTGATGGTTGGGCAGAACATTGTGTTCCTCTTCAGATGGTAATGTCTCATACCGACTTTACCAAAGTACCCTGGGTGGCTAGTTGGCAAGAACAACAAGATAAAAATCACACACGTGAATCTGAATCTGCATGGCTAAGTACCGAATAAATACTGAAGAAAAACTAGAACCAGAAACCAGGTTCAAATACAGACAAAAACATAGAGAAAAATTAAGTAAGTTGCTTTGTGCAAACTGATAATGCCCAACAAAGGTTATTAAATGCAAGGTATAACACAAGTGTCAAGGGGTCAAGCATGTCTCTGATGAACCTGATCTCCCTTCTTCACGGTAACTCGGCTAGCTAGATTTCACATACAGTAAATCTTTGTCATCTCGGCCATTTAAAGTACACTTAATCGGAATAACAACTCCTGAACCCACGGCTCTATTGAGTAACCAAAGGCATGCAGATGGAGGCAGTTAGCTATGTTCACTTATAACAGCAACACAAGTCTAGCGGAGTTATTCCGTCCAGAAACAGAGCGCTGAAACTCCCCAAATACAACGTTGCCACGAAAATGAGCTGAAATTCAGTGCAACATGCTGTGGGACATTAATTTCAGCTGCTACCCCGGGATGGCCCCCCGATCAGCACGGGTACCAGAGACACGCCGGCTCACACTTTCCCCAAAACCAGCATCACAAAAAGTAAAAAAAAAAAGCTTCAAACTCACTATTTGTCGAAGTTGATCCTGTGGTGATGCATGCCACCAGCGTTACCGCGGCCTCCGGGATGCTTCCTGTGTTTGCCTGGGAGAAAGAAGAGGGACAAGTCGGCTCTGTAACACAAGATCGCCGACACGCCAGCGACAGGGCGACCGCGCAAAGGACAACAAACCGGGACTCACCGACTCGGCCATGGCCGTGGCTGACGTGCCCCCGGAGCTTCCTGGTCTTGCTGTTCCTGGTGGGCTATTAAAAATTAGGAGGGAAAAAAAAAAATCACATGAAGGTACGGCTGAGGCCTCGCGTACATTTCCCGCGAAAGAAATCTACCGCGATCCCAGGTGGAGGAACGTAAAACCCGGTAAAAGCGCGGCGCAGGGCCGCTTCGCCATAACATGCTGCCGGCCTGAGAAAGGAGTATTGATGTACGTGTAACACGGTACAGCCCGTTGTCGACTACCCAGGACGTTAGGACGTTTTATCAATCTTCCGAAAAATTATATAATGTATATAAAAGCCATTTGCTTCTTTGAATGAAAAGCCGAGTTGTGTTGCAGTGTAGGCCAAATACGTACACCACCAAAACAGGTACGTGGGAACATTGTAATGAATACTTATTATTATAATTCTACCCGATCCACGACTGATTATGTTCTATGCATCATATAAAGCAATTCGCGTGTCCGTATTTGGTACTAAAACGGAAGATGATTGCCGATTTACTTCATAACCAAAAGCCAGCGGCGATGAGCAGCACTCACCATTTTCGAGGGCTAGTAGGAAAAGGAGCGTTATTTTAAAATATCGCGATTATATGCGAGACTTTCTTCGGGAATGCCGAAAAAGCGCGGGCGACACCCACTGGCCTGGAGAGGAAGAGCAGCTAAAGGTAATGATGAACTTAATGTGCTTGAAATAAAACGGTTCTGACAATTTAGGGTTTTTTATACTGCTCCTTAAGTTATTGATTCGGATTATCCGGCAAGCGTTTTTATTCTAGCGAAAATGCATGAAATATTATCCGGACTATTATGATGTGACCGGGATGAAAAAAGTTTGCATCCTCAGCCCATTATTACTGTAACATTAGCCGGCTATGTGGCTAGCAGCGTACCGTGCTGGAGATCGCACTGAATCTGCAGCTAACCGCGAAAAGATATTGCGTAGGGACTCACCCTTCTGTCGCTATGCCGTGTTCACTGGACTAAGTGCATAGATTAATTGTATGGAATATTTCAAAACTCGACTTATTTGGTGCTGGGCAATTTTAGATATTTCTGATAACTGTAATATAGATAAATTTGGTTTTCCGAAACGCGAAGTACTGTCCTAAATTGGCAATTGCGCACCTGGAAATTACATCGGTGAAACCAGCGTGCGGATATAGCATGTATATATATATATATATTTATATAAACAACATTTATTATCAGTGTATTTATTTATAACACCAATCCTTAAATACTATGTACGTTTTGTTTGTATAAGCACCTTTTCAGGTGTTCAGTGGTCCAGCGCAAGATAATAAAAATTTATGTTGGATAAAGTCAGCTGACATATATTTGATACGGATAAACGATCTCGTCTCTGGCAGAAATTAATATGTATATAAATGTAGAATAAAATTATAGATTTCATGTTGGTATACAGCCATTTCAAAGTATGAAGTGTGTCATTCAGGAATCTATCTTTTTATATAAAAGACCAATTTTTTTTCCAACCTGATTGTAATTAATTTGATTTGAGGAGTCTGGTGGCAAAATGAGCGGTACTGCAAACCGCGGCAGTGTGCAGACGCGCTGGGGCGGCCGGAGTCCGATGGCTACGGAGATCAGCTCGGGACTGCAACCACTGCCCTGACTCCTGCCCTGCTCTCAAGGTGAGATCCTCCACCTGCTCCTCCAACATCTACCAGATATGTTTACATTGGCTGATTCAGTTAAATGCATATTTCCTTAGTGCTTTTTAAAAGTCACCCTAAGGCTCAGGGTGGTATTAACTTTGCAAAACAGATAATACTTCAGAGTTCACAGTTTAGGTACTTCCTGTGGTGATGTGCAATCCATGTTTGTATATGAGGTCTATCTTTGATGTTAACACTTGAGGGTATACATCTGCTTGTAGACTGCTGAACAGAACAGGCTGATAATTTCAGAACGGAGATGCCTACTGAGATAAACACTGAGGATTCCCAGACTTAGTATTTGCACCCATGAAAAAATGCTGGTGGGGAAGGTAAACACATCAGTCCACGGCGGCATGTCTGACCAGAGTGCAGTGAACACGGTCATGAGGGGCTGCTGTGCATACAACCCAGCAGGCTGCTTCGCTGATTTGATTCTCACAGGAAGTCGGGTGTTGCTGCCTCAAATAGCTGGTGTCGCTCAGTCTATCTTTCCCTCCTTAGGTCCTGTGATGTCATCTACTGCTAAAAACAGGGTCATTTACTGTAAAAGTTCACAGAGCAGGTCCTCCTTTGGTTGAACAGGGGTCATAATGGGTTGTTGTGCAGCAGGGATCATAACAGGAACACCAGTGAAGTGAGTACGGTAAAGATGACGACAGCTGATCTCGTTTTCATTCATCCTCCGCATGTAATAAAAATAAGAATCAAATCAATAATGAGTCTAGATGATAGGGTTGGCTCTATTGACTGGTCTGGCCGACTCAGACTTTTCAACTCTTGGTACGTTTTCATTGTTTTCATTGGCTGACATTTGGCCATTTTGTTCTCTATGCATACTGCATTACTGTCCTTCATGTGTCTGTGTGTGTATAATGTATACTGTGTATATATACAGTGTATCTATATACTGTGTGTGTGTATATATATATATAGTGCATGCATATGTGTGTATTTATATATAATACACAAGCATATTTTAAGTGTGTGTTTGTGTGTATCGCGTTAATTTACCTATATTTTGTATTGGATGTTATAAATACATATATACAAAAAAAACTGTACTTAAAATTTAAAATGCGCATTAAAGCATATGAATCAAATATCACTGTAAAGTTTTGCTCAATGCTCCTTTATAAATAAGTATACTGATTATAAATAAAGAGGAATTTAGTTTGCTGAGGGTTGTCTTGAGGGATATCAGCCTATATTGAGTTATGTTAATTATATTTAAATTACTTTATATGTATTATGTTTTATAAAGTCATTAATTTTCTCTAATTTAAGTAAATTGTTATTGCTGAAATGAAACATTTTGTTGAAACTTTGGATTGTGGGAATCTTAAAAATATCTTCCACAATGATAAAATAGGCCTATTTGTGAGTGTCTGCAAATGAAACATCCTCTGAAATAGATTAAAATAACCCTGATCTTCCTCCACGGACATGGTGAGCATTAAGTATTGACCACTTAGTAGCTGCATACATATTAATGCATTTTGCATGCAGCATCGGACTAATTAGACTAATCTTGGGCTGTCTCGCACGGTGCTTTTGCTTTGTTATGTAGATGAGCTTTTAAGGGAGCATTTTGTTTGCAATTCCCGTGGAATGCAAACTGACAGAAGTCTGGGGCTGTCCGCGCTCAGGGTTTAAGACTCGAGTTCCTTTACTGGCAGAGGTTACAGCCGCAGAGTATTTTGACCGGGAGGATAGAGAGAGGAGGCAAGAAATGAGCACGGTACAGCGTGTGGTGCAGGAGGGGGGGGGCGAGGGAGCCGGCGGTGCTGGCTTTGTTTAGAACGATGTTCTGAGCTCTCCTGAGGGGTTCTGGGCCTCTGGGAGGAGGGAGTTTGTAGGTCAGGCTGGGGAGCCATTTGCCAGGCAGTGGAACATAGTCGTTACAGCCTCCATCTTTAGCCTGCAAAGGCCTGGCTGTTTGGCTTCTTCTGAATGCCGCTTCTCCTACCTTTCATAAATATGAAACGGGCAAAATCTGTATCGTCCTTTCATTATCGAGTTTCGATTTTTATTGGCTGATACTGTATATTTTTCACGACTGTTGTTAATATGTTGTTGTTGTTGTTGGCTGGCATAAATTCACATTACCCGTGTATGTTTTGTTTGTCTTTCTGCTCTCGTTTTGCCATACCCCCCCCCCCCCCCCTCACCTGGGGACTTGTGATGTCTTAATTGACTGACGCCCTGAAGGACACCCTATCGGTTCATCAAGATCTAATCCAGTTCCCAGCAGCAGCTGACCCCAATAGGTGTATGACGCGGGGGCGTGCGAATTCGCGGGGGACGGAGGCCTCTCGTGCGCGCACCGGGGCGGGGATGAGGCAGGGCGGCGTGGCCGGCACACGGTGGCCCACCCAAATCCCCCCGTGTCTGTGGTGCTTACCGCTCTCTTAAATTTAGGTCACATGGCCTTTCATACCATTTTCGGAAGGGCTTTGGGGGATCTTTTGTCCTAGAAAGAAAGGAGGAGAGGGAAAAAATGGAATTATCGTCTTGGACCTTATTTTTCACAAGGCGGAATTAAAAAAAGCAACGTGCTCTATATCGAATTGATGGATTTGCCGGCGGAGTCGGGATCAGGCGCTGAAGGGAGTGCAGGGCTTCGAATGTGACATGTGGGCCCCCCCCGCTGGGGCTTCCTTCGGACGACCGGCTGACACGTGTGCTGTGGGCTGTTTCCCTGGGCAGGTGAAGCCTGCGGAGCGCCGCGGACGCCAGAGGCGTTTCCCCCCCGCCACTGTCCAGACATGAACTGTGACACGCGCTGGAGGACCTGGCTTCCGGAAGCCCAGATGGACAGGGTAGGTGTCACTTTGCCTGCCACTGCTTTTGACGTCTCGGGTTACTATTTAAGGGACATTTATCAGAAGCATAGCTTGACTTTTCCGTTTAATTACTAGTTTAATAATAAATGTGTGCAGTGGTCTGCATAATAAGAACTGAAATGAAAGATAATGAAATAAGAGATGGTAATTTTAAGACATTGTTGAATTTTTGGGACTTGGGTATGTGTCTGAGCTTTTCACATTGTCTTTTTTGGCTGGGGTAGTGCAGCTTGCGGTTTATTCACTGGATATTTTAGTGCTGGTAAGCTCATCATGTCAGGCATCTTTCCGTCCTGCCAGTTACAGCCAGGATGGGCTAATGTCCCCAATTCCCAGACTGCTGCCCAAATTCAGCCATCTTTGACTTTGCCAGCCCTGCTGGATTCCATCTTAATCCTCAGTGTTTGTTTTGTTAGCAACCAAGATGTGGTCTGTTTCACAGAAACAGATTTAGCAAGGTGCGAATGTCTTATCATCTTTTAAGTTTACATTCGGATAGCGATTCTAGCCTCCCTTTAATGTGTTTTTCAATGCTTGTCAAGACAGCTGAAGTGAGTATTTAAATGTAGGCAGGCTTGAGGAATGTGTTAAAAAAATCTGACAGCAATTCCCAGATGACGGCTGTTAAAATAAGACTTTGATTCCTCAGGTGAAATTGAAATCTGAGGTGTGCTAATGTGTTTTGGCAGCTCTACGCTAAGCCTCACCAAAAAAGCATTTTACTATTTTAAATTGCAGTCCTCTGGGATTGACAGTCAGATATTCTGTTTTACTGCTTTACTATCAGCATCTTCTCTCTCTAATAAAAAATTGTGATAAAATATTATTGTTATTGTAAATTAGCTACTGGCAAGTTATTTTTTATTTTATTGGAGTTAGCTAAACGTCAGATATGATCAGCCTAGATGTGGGAGGAAATATCAACAAAGGATACGAGGTTAATGGTGTTACTCTGCAACGTCCTATAACCTTGTGGGCACTTCACTGTATTATGTGTTATGTTGAGTAAGTCAGGATGCGACACAGCTGGAGAGCAGACAGGTGTGTCTGCCGGATGCCATTTGAATAATAATAATAATAATAATAATACTAATAATGTGTATATATATATATATATATATATAATTTTATTATTTTTTTAAATCATTTTATTATTCTTTTATTATTATTATTATTATACATTTAATTTATACTGCACTTTTCATTAGAACAAAGTCTTAAAGTGCTGACATAAACATAAAATAAGATAATAGGTAGTTAATAAAAAAACAAGACAAAAAAACAATTTAAGAAGATCTAGCCCGACCCCCCCCATGTGCTTCCATCCACAGCTCTGTGCCGACTGCCAAGCGCCAGGAGGGGCGCGGGGCCTGTGCACGCTGTGCAACCAGCACCTGTGCTGCCGCTGTGCCAGCCTGCACCAGCACGCCAGCCGGACGGCCCCCCTGCCCGCCTCGGACATGGCGGCGCACCCCTCCCCCGTCGGTACGCTGCCACTCAGGGGCATACAGGCCCAAACCCGTCCACACACCACCATTTGCCCCCACTCCCCCATTTTCACACTGTCACTGTGGCTGCGTGGTCGTGCCGTTAGTCGATCTTATTCCTGGGCTACAGACCCCACGCCGTCGGTAGGGTGACACCCCAGGTTTGTAATCACTTTTTTGATACGCACTACACCAGGTTTAAATTATTTATTTATCATGTGAATAGTACCTGTTAGATGTTTATATGTTGATGTACGTAAGTTTGCACGGTAAAACTTTATATGACGGGGCACAGATAGTTAGTAATAACTCAGTAACTACTGAAGTACAAATCATGAACAAATATAGTTGCTACTTGCGATAAAAGATGTGTCACGATTCATTAGTGATGCACAAACATGAGATCAGTATTTCACTGGTGTTATTCATGACTTGTTCCTTCAGCAGTTCCTTCACTACTTCCTGTAGTAGTTACAGATATAGTAACAAATACAGTCTGCTGCTTGAGATAAAACATGCATCACGGTTCATTAGTGATGCCTTCACATACGTTCAGTATGATCAATACTATATTATTTGTGCCCTGTCAAGTAAAGCGTTACCGTTTGCATTAGATAGTGCGTGTGTTGGGTTTTAGCCACTCACTGCTCGAGTGCTGAGAGTTAGTGGATGCATGTAGCGTACTACATCGAGAAATAGCTTAGTGGGTGCATGTAGCGTACTACATTGAGAAATAGCTTAGTTAGTGGGTGCATGTAGCGTACTACATTGAGAAATAGCTTAGTGGGTGCATGTAGCGTACTACATTGAGAAATAGCTTAGTTAGTGGGTGCATGTAGCGTACTACATTGAGAAAAAGCTTTACTTTCCATGCAATACTGGAATGACCCAGCTGAGCTTCAGACACTGGGGTCTGACAGGTGCCCGTCGTGCTGTTTGTATTCGTCTGCGAGAGCAGAAGCATCCGATGCCGGAGAGGGACGGGTGAGGGGCCGTAATTGTTTAGGCAGGATGTGGTCAGCCCTCAGCGTGAGGTGATCTGGTGTGAGGCGCCCCTACTCTACTGCACATCGCCCGCCACAGTGCGGCCCACTTTTTCGGTAGTGCATCTCCTGCACAAGTGTTGCTAGTGAGAATCCACTGCCAGTCAGAGCACGTCACATCGTTGTGGTTTCGCTCACACAGGATATAAATGCTGCATATCAGAAATGGCTTTAGCCAAGCATGTTGTCTGCTTTACAAATGAGAACCCCAGTGAGATTAGACACAGGGTCTGGTTTTTGGTAAAGAAATCTGAACTCTCGGCCTGCAAATACATAATTTGTGTTGCAGTTCATTTAGATTTTGTGACACAGTAGACAGTTTGAATTCATTTTCATTAAAAATGTCTGTTACAGGAAACAGTTACTTTTACAGTATTCAAAGAGTTGTAGTGTTCTGTTGGAAGTCCTAAAAACAGAGGTTTAGTGCTCTGGTTCTGGAGTTCCACAGTAACAAGTGCAGGTGTCCTGGTTTCAGACCCAAAGCAAAATGCAAGCACCTTATAGCTCGGTTCTGTAATACACAACAGATCAGGTCACACACCAGGTTCACCGGCATGAAATATGAAGTAGGACATGAAGCAAAGTCTGCTAAAATCAAGTGTCAGTGTTTCTGAATATGGATAGTAATTCATCACGGCCTGTCGTCCCTCCCAGACACCAGCTGCTGGCCAAACAGACCCCCCCCATGCCACCTGCACGGACCGGAGCCCCTGGAGCTCTTCTGTGAGACCTGTGACCTCCTGGCCTGCAGCCGATGTCACCTTTCTAGCCACGTGGATCACAGGTGAGGTCTGCGGGGCTGAATGTGTGACAGTGCAGTGTGACAGTGAAAGACAGTCTCCACAACAGAGTGACTGTTCACCTTTGTCAAAGGTCCCACGCTCCCTAACCCAGATAGCACACATATGTTGAAATGACATTGATTCCATATCAGACAAAAAGGTTGAAACAACATTGAGTGTGTCCAAAATCGCGCACTTGCGTCAGTGTACTGAGATGTAGTGCGTAGTGCGCACTTCCTTCTGTAGTGCACACTACCATGGGTAAGTGCTGTCCTAAATGGAACACTAACGTTTTGCACTTACCAGAAGTGACGGACTAATATTTGATCGCGATTCTCCAGCGCGCCAAAATATCTGCCGTGTTTTGTTTACAATGAATTTCCTTGTGGTTTTATTTGCGTGTGTATAATCTATCTACGACCGGCTAAAAAACTGCTAACATTCATGTGTGCGAACTCTTCTAAGTCGATATAATTGCAAACTCAAATTATCTATAACTGCCGTCAGAGAGTGACAGGCTACACACCACAGTATACATCAGTAAAATAATTTTATTAACGTTACTTAGATTTATATGAAGCAGTTGCCTCCGCTTGGGCATACATGTCTGTGTTGTTCGTCTTAATTCAACTCTGAAAACTTGCCGAAAGTCCCTCCCCTTCCGCTACGTAGTCAAAATGGTGTCCGTTTAGTGCGAGTAGTGTCCATCATTCTGCACTGCGTTTTCTGGCCGTTTTCAGTGCACCATCCGGGTACTTTCAGTGCACTGAATTTTAGCTTAGTTGTCAGTGTGAACGCACTACACCCTAAAATCACGCACTAAAAGTGCGCAAGTGCGCAATTTCGGACACACCCATTGATCTTCAGTCTTTCACTTTATATCAACATCGAATCAAGGTTTTGCCACCATCAATTTTTCAATATTGAAAATCTGACCAAAAATCAATTCAGTTTCAACGTTGATAATTTAACACTGACCAAAATTCAACGCATTTAACTATAATTCAATGTTGAAACAATAACATAATGCTATCTGGGTTAAGCAGGGACTTTTTAACCCTGAAGTAAGATGAAGATGATGGATTTGCGTGCTCGTTGGCACAGTCTGGTTCATTTCTGTACCACAGCAGTATTTAACTAGTCATTCAGTTACTAGTCTTTCTCAGGCTACGACGTGCTGAATCATCTATGTAGTTATACATTCTATTGATCTTGAGCAGTGGATTCAAAACATGCTTTAGTGAGGTTGTTAGTACAAGCACAGCTCAAAAGTAAACATAGTTTTAAGGCCAGATACGTCCTTTTAATTAAGGGGTGAGCTGGAACAAAGAGCAGTTTGCATGTGGGGGGGGGCTGCCGGTTCCAGGATTCGGACTTAACACCGCCAACGTGAACCGGCTGCTCAGCCAATGCTGATAGCAGGATGCTCACTCGTGGATGTGTATTTGGCACGGTAAAAGTCTTTGTTGCGCTCAGGTTAGTCCATGTCGGGAAGGCCCTCCGGGATCAGCTCTGGCTCTTCGAGAGGCTGACGGCCCAGTTGGAAGACAAAAGGTCCGCCGTGGAAAACTCAGCCAAGCTGATCGAGTCCAGGTGAGCGGCGTGTCCGGCGGGCTGCTGCAGCAGGAATGCGCCGCGCGCCTAAACAAATGAGGCGGAGAGTTTGAAGCTGGGTCCTTGCATCGTAATATTAAGGCAAAAAAAAATTTAGGCAAAAAATTAAGAAGAATTCTTTCTCTGATTCCACTTCTGCTAGTGCTCTTAGCAGAATCACCCGGGATCACTGTAAAAAATGCTGTAGGGACACAGAAGACTGTCCAATCCACTCAGGTAGTCTTATGTCACCTTAACGAGGTGATTAGTCTGAGGGAATGTCACTTGCATAGCTTTAGCATGAGTGTCTGTAAGTGAAGCACAAGTGATCAGCGGCCATGGTGAAGCAGAGGGTTACCCGAACTCACCCTCATTCCCCTGGCTGCTCACAGCTAGTATGTGCAGTTAGTATAATTAGGTGCACTGGTTAATGATAGAGCTAATCTCAGATATCTCGGAAGTACCACGAGCTGACACTTGTGTAGACTGTAATTTATAGCCATTGAAGTCATTCATTAATTAGCTGCCATTTATAGATTCGGTCACAGAAAATCATACTTCCTTTGTGTTTTTTTTTTTCTTCCAGAATACATGGACTGAAGATCCTGCAGAGGAAGGCAGAGAATCAGATTAAAATGGCAAAGATGATTATAATGAATGAGCTCAACAAACGAGTCAACTTATTAACAGAGCAACTTAAGGTAACGTCATCTTTTTTCGTTTTAAATACCTGTGGTCCATATGGGGAGAAAAAGGTCTCGGAGCACACCTCAGGAATTCATCTGGTTCTTCTCGGCCGTCTCCCATGCAGAAGATGTCTGGCGACTTCCGGCAGCAGCTGGAAGGGCAGCTGCAGGGCATGGTGGAGCTCTGCAGCCAACTGGGCCAAACGCAGAACTTTCTCAGCTGGGCCACGTCCCACCACCAGAGAGGCCAGCTGCTCTTCAACAAGGAGCTGGTAGGCCGCCTACCGTCACGTCCTCCACGTCGTGGTCTGCAGGGAAGCTCCCGCAATCTGCTTTTCGTGGGAGATACACGAACGCTGGGCGTGATATCTCAGGGCATACGCATAAGGGGGAGGGGGCTGACCTCGCCGCAAGTGCTGGGACACGAGTGACGTCTAGTGCGCCACCCGTTCTGGGAGTGTCACCCTTTCAGGGAGATGTTCCTCCTTCCCTTTTCTTGCACTCAGATCATGTTCCAGATGCAGCAGTTGCTGGAGTCCCAGCTTCACTGTGACATGGAGACCCCTGTGAAGATCAAATTCAACTGGGATGCCAGCTTGTGGACGAAGCAGATCTCAACGTTAGGTAGGGTGTGGCGTCTCGCCACTGGGTTGCCTTGATGTCTTCTTGATGACTTTTTATGGAAGCGCTTGGGCACTTTGACAGGAACGCTCTTCTTCTCCAACCGAACGCAGGTCATCTGACAGCAGAGGGGGGGTTCCTTCCTCATTCCCAGAGGCTGCCGTGTTCCAGCCTCCTTAAGCCACACCCCCTTACCTGCCCCGCCCTCCCTGCTTCCCTGTGTCCCGGAGCCGTGGAGCAGGGCTGCGGCTTTCAGGCCTGCTTCCAGTCGCAGGCATGCTGCCCTGGCTGTGTGGCTTCCAAGGCCCACGAGCCCCACCCAGGCCTCCTTGTGGACCTCAGCCTGGGCTCCTCAGGACAGAAGGGCAGCTGCCACCCTCTTGGACCATATCCTGACAGGCAGCTGGAGCAGCCGTCTGCGAAGCAACCGGAGGAGAAGCAGCCGAAGCGGTGTCACGCCGGGTGCAAGCAGCGTAGACAGAAACCCGCAGCCCAGCGCTGCGCTCCTCTGCAGGGCCCCTGGGAGCCCGATGGTCCTCAGGCTCTCGTCACCCATGTGAAGAAGCTCCCCCAACAGCGTGCCAGGCAAACGCTGTTGCCCTCGGGGGATGCCCAGGCGCGCCGCCCCAGGGGCAAGCCCCCGGGTCCACAGCCGTCAACAGCCGTCTGCTCCAGCCTGCAACTCCTTCTGCAGTCTCCACATCAGTCCTGTAGGGGGCAGCGGCCAGGGAGGGCTCAGGGGTGGGTGGACCTGGACAAGTTGCAACTGGCTATGAGACGCAACGGGATGGGTCCAGGTGGCCTGCAGCCTGCCGGGAAACAAAGAACCGCAGAACCAGCCAGGGCGGGTCCAGACGGACTGGGTGCAAACAAACTGCAAGGGCCCCAGCGACAGCTGCAGACGCTAGCACCCCCGGCAGCGCCGGAGCGTAGCGTTGCCCATCAGGCCGAAGGGCAGCCATCACAAGTGCTACAGTCGCTTGAGAGCAACACCTGCAGCTCCGGGGTGAGTCAGTGCGGTTGACCGGAGCTGAGCAAGCCTCAGGCACCCACGGCTTCTCATATGTGTCATTGACCACAGCTCTCTGGCCCTTTCTTCATTGTCAGCTTCAAAGGGGGGGAGGGGTCTCTCACCCCCCGCTGTCTGCTGTGCTGCTCACAGCACTGCCCGTAACCTCAAGGCCAGTAAAATGGACAGAGAGCCATGAGCATGCCACGCGGCATGCACACCATGGGGGAGGGACTCGAGGTGCCCGTTTGTTTGCGGGATGGAGCGAAGGCACAATAGAGAGAGTGTGAGAATGATGACACCAGCATGGTGCTGCAGGAGGTGACAAAAATGGCTGCGGCTTTTGTTTGCTGTTTTTTTTTTTGTTTCAAGCACCAGGAAAGCTTTGAGTCAGAAAAAAAAACAGTATGTCAGGGCTGAGAGAAGTGTCATACCCCCCGCGCCCCCCCACTCCACCTCCCACACCCTTCTCTCACAGCAGTGTTTCCTCAATGTTCTGTTGTTTTCCCAACATTAGACAGGAAGCTAGCACTGCTGGTCACATTCCGCTGGCCCTCCGGCGTCCCCGACACCGGCTTGTGACCCCCCCCCTCCCGGCATTTTACTGCTTTTTCTTTCTGGACTGAGTGGCTGATCGGGAAAGGCGAAACCCCCTCCCCCATCCGCACACCGGAGCCTGGTTGTTTAGCTGTTTGTTCCCGCGCTTCTGCTACGAGCGGAAAGCCGTCTTACGTTAACGAGGCACCAGGGGATTAGCGCCGGCCGCTGGTTTGATTCAACTGCGACTCGTCCTGCTCCATTAGCGCCCACTTTCCCCCCTTCCTTTGCTGGCCTTGTCGTTAAATCCTCCTCCCTGCACCCAGGTCGCTGTGCACTTGTCAGCGATAGGAAAGACTCGGCGCAGGTACATGCGTCTCGGCTGCGACGGCCTCTGCGCAGCTGGCTGCCCCAGCTTCCCTGCTGTGAGCAGTGGCATGTTAGGGGAGCAGCGATGCAGATAAATGTTTTGTTTGTTTTTTTTTGATGATTTTTTCGTGGCAGGTTTACAGACAGCCTGTATTAATCATGGCATTACCAGGCTGGTAGGACGCTGAAGGCGCGAGAGGTTAGCCCTGCTGTGGTGCTCTTAAATTAATGCTGCTAGGCCAGGCATGGGAGGGGGGCAAGAGGCAGGGGGTTTCAGAGAGGCAGATTTCTGCAGCGTGACTTTCACAATGAGGCAGCTTAACCCTGAAGATGGTTTCGGTTCGTCCTGTGAAGAGCAGGTGCAATCGGGGTGGTGGGGGGGGAGGGGGGGCAGGGGTGTGTGTCTCTATTCCATGGTTTGTAGGATGCCCACTCCCCACGTGACCGTAACCCGCGTTTCCCATCAGGAATCCGGCATGTCTGTGATGTCGGCGCCGGCCCGCGGGGGCTCCGCCGCCGAGCAAACGAGACCGCCGGGACCACCGGCTGGCGCTGCCCCCGAGGGCCAGCCAACGAGGGCCGCCCACAGCCTAGCAACAGCAGGTGGGGAGCAGGGCAACGCGGCGGGCCAGGTAACCAACCACAGTGATGGAGCCAGTGGGGGGCAGGGTGGGGAAAGGAGGGAGGGGAGCGGGAATGGTGATTATCTGCTACGTCTGAGCCGTGTACAGCATATAGGGTATAAAAAACCGCACCACTGCCTGGGACTACCCTAAGTCTGCATTACGGTGTCATATTGCCTTTAGGGCAAATATCTAAAAAAAATTAATATTTAAAATATTGGGGTTCAAGTTGCACTTGAACAGCTGGCATTCTGGCTACAGATGATGATGTGACAATGTCCAAGCTTATAAGAATGGCAAACACACTATTACTACCATGGGCAATGCTTGTGAAACACTGAGCTATAATAGCCATATTTTGTCAGAAACATAGGCTATAAGATTGAACTACAAGCCTTCTGTTATCCTACTTGTCAGATATCATCGATTACCGATAATACCATCTTTTCTCCCAGCCCCAATTAACTCTTGGAAAAAAAAAAAATTATGAACCCTTTGGGAATATTTGCATTTCAGTATCTTCTAAAGTGTGATCTAAATGATAACACAAAATGCACATTGGTTAAATATGCTGCGTCTTTATGAGGAAAGGATAAATGTTTTAAACACCTGCTATTCACAGTAAACAAATGGTTAAAAGTCAATGTTATTAATGGCAAATAGGGCTGTAATGGTCCATAAAGCCAAAGCCAGAGTGAAACATGACTTTTGAGTACCACTGAATCCCTAATGGAAAATTATGTGAATGTCTAGGACAGTTAAAGTTTTCCAATGAATTGAGGTGGATTTCATCCATTTGTCTATTCCCCTGACTCTAGACTGCTTCCTTTCCCTGCTCTTGAATCTTTCCAGTTTGATGAGCTTCAGCTTTCCTTGCGACATCTTCTGAAACTTCTTTCATTGAGGCATATTGTACTATAAAATAATTCTGGTGTAAAAAGGGCAGGTCAAACCTACACCTAAATTAATTAAAACATTTAACTCCAGTCTCTTTTCAAAAGGTCATTATGTTTGCATGCTGTTTCCATCAATGACTTTGTTTAAATCATTTGCTCGAACATAATATGGCAGTATAAGAGAAATAAGTTGTTGTTACATTAATCTGAATTTATTATTTTTCTGTATGGCTTAGATGAAGTTAAGATCTAATCAAGTACAAAAATCTAGAATTTCCAGTTGGGATCACGAACATATCAAAATCATGATGTACTAAAAAGAGGAGATTGATCTGGGGTTACTTAGGAATGGTGAAACTTTCAATATTTTCCTCTGTTCTTGGTGGCTTGTTAATTTAGGTACTCGGTTTTGACAATTTTTTGTAAAAGAAGCCGGACGCATGAATTAAAGCTCTGTAATGTGTAATGAACATATTACCAAGGAGTAGTACATGTGTTTTAATTTTTTCTATTCCCAAGGGACTTGATTCTGAAAGCTTTCGGTTAATTTGATCTTGTTTGTAGGCTGAACTGTGCAGACAGACTAAAGTCAGCTCTCTGAGACATTTTTAATAACCATACTTGCAGTTTGATGATGGGTTTATTATTATAGATAATCTAATCACATTCTGCTTAACAATATTTTTCAAAAAGAAAAAAATCCTCAAAACTGCTTTTATAACCACAGATGATGTATGTGAATGTGTGTACATATTAGGGATGGCACGGTTCATGAAAAAAAACCGAACCATTCGGTTCGCTTGTCTTGGTTCGGAGCATGCATGCATCGCACAGTTCGACGGTTCATGACATGCGCAATGAATTAAAGCTCTGTAATGTGTAATGAACATATTAC